GCTGTGTAGGGATTACAGAACTGCTTTAGGCTGAAGGGAGTCGTTGCCCAGCAGTGCCCCTCTCAGGGTGAAGGAGCAGGAACGGAGAGGAAGTGGCCGAGCATATAGAACTGTTGATAATAGGGTCTTTCATCTCCCTCTGTCCCAGCTGTAACTACTTACTTTAGGATGTGTTGGGTTCAGGTGTTATCAGCATTCACGTCACAAGTGTAAACTGCGCTGGGCTGTGTCTGCCCTGTGTTCCAGTGCCTGCCAGTTTCCAGCTTGCGCCCAAGTCACGTGGCTTCTTTCACGGCCGCCTCGGGGACTCTTCTAAAGACCTCATGCAGGGATTTTGACTAAATCCGAATCAAGGCACAGGTGTGTCAGGACCTTCACTTCCATTGTTGTGCAGTCAAGGGGCAGTGATCTTAGGTGAAAGTTGCTGGGTTTCACTTCAGGCTTCACTGACAGGTGGCTTAGTGTCTGTTTACCGTGGGAGGAATGATTGAAAGAGCATCTAGAACTGTCTTACTTTGGTGGTGGATGTGTAAACTGGTGCATTTTAGAAAACGTATGGCCGTATCTATTCAGATAAAACACGCCTAAGCTACATCTGAATATTTACTCAAAAAAGTTATGGGACATGCAAGCTAATATGACAGAAACCCCATTAGTGGCTGCTTAGGGATGGAAAGAAGGAGGAATGAGTTTAAAGGGACAAGAGGCTGCAGAGAATGGTGGACATGTTCATTTTGTTCATTGTAGTAGATTCTGTCACTGGTGTATACATCTGTTGTACTCATTTGATTGTATGTTTTAAGTATGTACAACTCAGGACTGGCATTGTGGCATGGCAGGTGTAGGCTCTGCCTGAGATGCTGACACTGTGTGGGTGCCAGTTTGAATCCCAGCTGCTCCGCTTCTGATCCAGCCCCCTTCAGGTGCATCTGAGAAAGCAGTGCTTGGGCCCTGCACCCACGTGGGAGATCTAAAGGAAGCTCCTGGCTCTCGGCGTGAGCCTGACCCAGCCCTGGCCATTGCAGTCATCTGGGAAATGAACCAGCAGACGAGAGATCCTCCCTCTGTTTCTCCTGCTTTTTCTGTAAGTCTTGCTTGTAAATAAAAACGAAAAAAAATGTGCAGCTTATCGTAAGTCAGTTGTATCTCATCATTGATGCATATTTTACTCCTTTAAATATTGTAGTTATCTCATCGTGCGAAGACATTATGAGTAATTTCTGGTTTTTTTCCATAAGGTTTTCTGTGTTTCTCACATGTTTTACCTCAACCATGTATTTCCCTAATTCTTAATTGAGACATTATTTCTTATGTATAAAATAGTACTTCTGATGCATCTCTGGGTTTGCATAATACGCAAAAAAACTCTGTACCCAACTCATGTTTGGGGAGCAGCGCAGCTTTTGAAGCTTCTTTGTATATTCCCTTTGATTTATGCCTTGTTTTGCTTTTCTTGATTTTCTGTATAGTTTTACCATATACCTAAGCATTCCTAAACAATGTGTTGTTCAGTTTTATCTCTTTGGGGTGCTATGTAAATGTAATTATATGATTTTTATACTTGATCTTACCCAAAAGCCCAAGAAGCGATAATTATATGATTTTTATGACTTATGCACATACTAATTTGTGTTATTTCTCCATGTTGATGTGTTATAATTTGTTTTTCCATTCTGTGACTTTCCTAGTATTTTTCCATCATTGTCTTGGTGGTTGTTTTCGGTGTTCATTTTAGAGATTTATACTTTTTGTTGTTTTTATCGTTCTAATCCACATCTCTGTGTCCATGCGCAGGGATTTCCCAGGCTTTTCCTTAAGCTAGGAGTCCAGTTGTAGGTTCTAAGCTTTGCTGGATAATGCTGTTTTTTCATGAAGTGGTTGTCCAGGTCTATACCTTCCCGAGGTGTATGCAAGGAGCAAGTTGGAGCAACCCTTACATTGAAGACATCTAAAAATGCTAAAATTAAGAAATTAAAAATAGGAATCAAATTGCCAAGATATAACAGAATACCAAAAGTATGAGAGACTAAAGGAGCTTTCAGAAATATATATTTATTTGAAAGAGAGAATCACAGAGAGAAAGGGAAGAGACAGAGCATTTCCACCTGCAGGTTTATTCCCCAAATGGCCACAGCTGCCACGGTTGAGCCAGGCTGAAGCTAGTAACCAGGAGCTTCCTCTGGAACTCCACATGGGCGCACGGACCCAAACACGTGGGCTGCCTTCTGCTGCCGTCCCAGGTTCATTAGATGGGAGCCAGATAGAAAATAGAACATCCAGGACTTGAGCTGGCACCCATATGGGATGCTGGCACCCATATGGGATGCTGGCACTGTAGGTGTCAGCTTAACGTGCTACGCCACAGCACCAGCCCCAACTAAAGGAACTTACAAGTCTATTTCTCTGAGAGGGCTTACTAACCTGGGATCTTGATAGGTTTGACTAGAAATTTGGCTAATTTGTGTTAGCCTAAGGATGGTTGAAAGTTAGCCCAAGGCTCATTTAAGGTACCCTGATGAGAAACTTTATGTCTAATTCTGGGATGTCATAGGGCTGCCTTGGTTGAAAACTCACTTTGTCTGTAAGGACACTTGCTTTGTGCCAGGTAAAGTGGGTGGGAAAAGCCTGCCTTTGGGAAACTATGACCACAGAGGAGAGCAAGTGGCTGGGAGTTTACACCAGTTTCAAGATGTGAGTCTTTTTAAAAGTCATATTTTCTTTCTTTCTTTCTTTTTTTTTTTTAAAGAGGTTGGCCATTGTGGTGAAGTAGGTTAAGCTGCTGATTGGGACTCCAGCATCCCCTATCCGATAGCCTGGGTTTAAGTCCTGCAGTCACTTCCAGTTCAGCTTCCTGGTAGTTCATACCAAAGGGCCAGCAGATTGTGTCTCAAGTGCTTGGGCTCTTGTGCCCAGTGTGGGACACCAGATGTAATACTGCCTCCCGGCTTGGAACTAGGCCAGGTCCAAGTTGTTGAACACATCTGTGGAGTGACCCAACAGATGCAAGAGCTCTCTCTCTCTCTCTCTCTTTCTTTCTGTGTTGCTTTGCCTATCAAAATAAATAAAAATAATCTTCTGTGAAAAGGAAGGAGCTAAGCAACATTTATCGAAATTATATTTCTTCAAGGTGTCTAAGCAGTGCCCCTTCATCTACCTTCGTGAAGGTGTGCAGTCATCATCACTGATCCAAAAGCATTGCTGTCGCACGGGGGATCCAGCCGACAGCCCAGCCCCCGGCCCTACTCCCCATTTGTACAATCCCCTGATGTACTTACCAAAATTCAATCTTTTTAACGAGTGTCTGTAGAGCTCTTTGTCATTTTGATTGGATTTGCCTAATGTTCAGTGATGTCGCACACCTTTCCCTGTGTTCTTTGGCCATCTGTCTTCTTTGAAGAAACATGTTTGAATTCTTTGTCCAGTTTTTTTTTTAAAGATTTATTTATTTTCCTTGGAAAGTCAGATATAGAGAGGAGAGGCAGAGAGGAGCTTCTGTACACTGATACACTCCCCAAGTGGCCGCAAAGGCTGAAGCCAAGCTGATCTGAAGCCAGAAGCCCTCTTGGGGTTTCCCACACGGGTACAGGGTCCCAAGGCTTTGGGCCATCCTCGACTGCTTTCCCAGGCCACAAGCAGGGAGCTGGATGGGAAGCAGGGCTGCTGGGATACAAACCAGCACCCATACAGGATCCTGGCACGTACAAAGTGAGGACTTTAGCCACTAACCTACCATGCTGGGCTCTGTCCACTTTTAAATAGGTATTTGTCAATTCATGGATCTGAAATGAGCTGGTAAGCAAAAGCAAATCTCTGGAGGAGTGCATTTCAATTTTGGCTTGATAAAGATCTTACCAGTAAAGTTTTATGGTAAGTCAATAATTTATGGTTGAAAACTTATTGTCTAGCTGCACAGGGAAGTAAAACATCCTGAACAACAATCAGCAGAAACAATAAATAACGGGGAATAAATATGCAAAAGGCTGAATTATCAGACATAGGTGATAAAACATTCTTATGCTGTAGTGTAAATTAAAGACAATATTTCAAGGTGTCCTCACAAAATTCAAGGAAAATGTGTAGTGTGGATTTCCAAAAAGAAATTTACACTTACCTAAGTAACTAAGTAATTTCATGAACTTGCTGAAGTTTCTTATATATCTGAAAGCATATGTATTTCCTAACTGTAGTTAGAACTATTTGTAACTTTTGAAATATGCAGTAATTAAAAAAAAAAACCCATTTGTTAAGTTTAACCAAAGTGTGAGCAATTAAGTGTAGCCTGAGAGAGCATGCAAGAACAGGCAGGTCAGAAAGTCATTCAGGGTGCAGTTGGGGGCAGGCTTTTGTCCTGGTGGTTAGGATGCCAACTCCTCCCCCAGAGTGCCAGGCTAGCTCTGGCTCCTACACTAGCATCCTGAAAGACACTATGCATTGTTCATGTGCTGGGACTCCTGCCCGCCTCCTGGGGAGTGAAGCAACAGATGGAAGATCTTTTTCTCTGTCTCTCCTTCTCTCCGTAAAACTGCCTTTCCAATGAAAATAAATAGATCTTGTTTTTAGATTTGGAATTTATTTCAAACTAAATCAAAGAACAGGGCAAGTGGCAATTTTAGGTTGTAAATTTATTATTTTTAAAAAAGATCTATATATTTATTTAAAAGACAGAGTTAGCAGAAAAGAGAGATTCTGCATCTTACAGTTCATTCTGCAAATGGCCGAAATGGTCAACGCTGGGCCGGGCCAAACTAGGCACCAGGAGCTTTGTCTGGGTCTTCCACGTGATTTCGGGGACTCAAGCACTTGGGTCCTTTTCCCTCTGTGCACTCAGATGCACTAGCTGTTGAACTAGTGCCATATGGGATGCAGCCTTCTTGACTTAACTTGCTGTGCCATAATGCTCACCACAATACTATGATTTATTTACTGATATCTAATGAGAGTAAGCATGATCGGTTTAACTTGTCTTCTGTTCTGCCAACAGGTTCCTAATAAAGCTGGAAGTTTGTATCTCTTGTTAAATATTGGAAACTGACTGTAATGGCAGCAGAATTTATAAAGAGTTGCTGTAGAGGGTGCTTCTACGGAGAAACCGAAAAACACAGCTGTGAGTTTTATTTTGACTTCAATAAACATTTATTGAGATCCTTCTTTGCTTTTGGAATTTTGTCATAGAAATATTTCCTTATTTCCTTATTTCCACAAGGAGACTGAAGCATAGGTAAACTAGCTAAGTATCCAGAACTGCACGTACCCTGGAGAGCAGGAAGGGGTGCATTCCATCCCAGACACACCCTGGAAAAGCTCCAAAAGGAAGACGTTTGCCCTGGGAGTCTGGGAAGCATTTATCCAAGTTGAATGGAAAGAAGGAAGAAAGAAAATGTGAGGCAAACATGAACATTATATCTGGATGGTATGGTATTAGCAAAGGCAGGGAGAGAGAGAGAAGTGTGTTTGGGCAGTGTAACTCTGGCCAGTGTTTAATTTATGTACAATGTATTTATTATTATTATTATTATTATTATTAAGACAGATTTTTCAGAGAGAAGGAGAGACATAAAGAAAGATTGTTCATCCAGCGGTCCACACCCCAAGTGGCCACAACAGCTGGAACTGAGCTCATCCGAAGGCAGAGGACCCCTCTGGGTCTCCCATGAGGGTGCAGGGTCCCAAGGCCTTGAACCTTCCTGAACTGCTTTCCTAGGCCACAAGCAGGGAACTGGAAGGGATGGCAAGCGGAGGAGCCAGGACATGAACTGGCACCCGCATGGGATCCCAGAGCATGCAAGGCGAGGACCTACTAGGCTATGTGCCATTCATGTTATTATGAATAAATAACCAAAGGGGAGGAGACCCATGACTTTATCAAACCGCGCTTGTCAAGGAATCCTGGAGGTATCTCTAATGCACGTTTCTCTTAGCTCTTAAGGCAATGACTAGAATATTATTTTTCTCTGAACTTTTCTTTGTATTAGTGGAGAGCAGAGCTTTGAGAGTTTCTGTTCTATCTAAATATGAAGGTTTCTTTTTTTTTAAGATTTAATAATTTTTTTATCAGAAAGTTAGATTTACAAAGAGGAGGAGAGACAGAAAGGAAGATCTTCCATCCGATGATTGACCGCCCAAGTTACCGCAACGGCTGGAGCTGAACCCATTCAAATCCATGCGCCTCTTCCTGTTCTCCCACATGGGTACAGGGTTCCACGGCTTTGGGCTATCCTTGACTGCTTTCCCAGGCCACAGGCAGGGAGCTGGATGGGAAGCGGGGCTGCCAGGACACGAACCAGCACCCATATAGGATCCTAGCATGTGCCAGGATCCACTAGGCTATTGCACTAGACCCCAAGATTTCCTTTTTATATGAAGATATTAAAAAAGTAACACGTAGATTCCTATAAATTAGTAGTTATAGTTCATTGAATCTACAGATAACGCTGCATATAGTTTAACGTTAACTCCAGGTGTCCCTTATCACCCCAGCTGAAGTAATGCAGCTTAGAAACCCCATATAAAATAAGTCATGAAAGCCAGGACAGGGTGAGTGATTGCTGCATGTCTAGGGTCAGTGTGCATTTTATTTCATGGTTTGGTAGAGGTCTGTGTAGACTTGGAGCACTTCATATATTTAAACCCATGTTAACCAGTCTTGTTCATCACAAGAACTGCCTATAGATAGTATCTTTACATAACTAGATTTTCCTTGACAGCATTGTGGCATTAACTGCAAAATAAGTTTATTTTCCATCTCTAAGTTGTGTGGGAGCAAGCCTCCTTAAAGACCTCTTTTATCGTTAGGATAAGTTAATAGGCTTTGGCAGTAGCAGGTTAACTGCTGCAAACCTAGCTGCACAAACGTAAAGTAGATTCCAGGGGTGCCTGACAGGACCAAAGGGTAGTTTACATTCCAGTAATGTATTTCAAAATGATTAAATAAGTACCTCAGTGTTTTAGGCTGAGATTATTATATGTCATATCTGCATCTATTTGTGATTCCCTCTCCCCATTTTATTGGCAGCATCTGGAGACAGAGACTTGAAAGCAGCAGTCTCAAACAGCCCCAGCCCCAGCGTCTACGTCCACCCTCTGACTTCTGCTTCTGCGAAGCCTCAGCTGGGCTGCACTGAAGATTATCTGCTTTCCAAATTACCATGTGACGGCAAAGAAGTGCCCTTTGTGGTGCCAAGGTTTCAGTTATCTTACATTCAGCCCAGGACACAAGGAACCCTTTCGCATCCGGAAGGCCTTGAAGGTAAGCAGCACCTTGCAAGAATTAAAATAAAACAGGTAGCATTTGCATGCTGTTTTGCTCCTTTATGCCTTTCATATAGGACATATACAAAACGTGATACTTTGCTTTTAGCATGTTTTGTTTTTGTCAGTAGGGAACTTAGTCCACAATGTTTCTGAAAGATCTCATTATGAAGTTGGCTCCTGAGGCAACACCTCTCTGTGTAGGTCTGACCTCATTTAAAGGGTAATATCCCAGGTGTTCCTCACGAATGTAGGAAGAGTAATACAGGAATTATTCTGTATTTGATCACCAATACAAGATGCATAGTTCTTACCAACAGTTTTCCAAAAGGCAGTGCAACGAGAACTAAAGAAACAATCCCTCCTTGCCTTCCTCCTTGCCAGGCTCCCTGGATTCACTGTCTGAATGCGGCACACATTGTAGGGGCCGATCAGCTAGTGGAGATAATAGGAATATATAGTTCTTTTCTGTTTCAAAAATTTTATTCCATTTGAACACTGTCAGTCCAAATAACTTTTTTCCCTTAAACTTGTATTAGAAAATGTCAAACACATAGAAAGGTGAAAAGAACTAAGCAGCGACTTCCTATGCATCCAACTGAACAAATTCTGCCATTAACGTTGGACTCATTGATTTGTCATGTATGTACCCACCTTTCCATTCTTCTATCCATCATTAATCCACTTTTTTGGCGGGAGGAGGAAGATTTTAGAGTAAGTTGAAAACAATGGTCTTACCCACTTTCCTGTAGCCCTTGACCTTTTGTACCCTAATCAACTATGTAAGATTATTTTTAAAATAATAATGAAGAAAGAAAAAGAAGAAGAAAAAAGTAATGTCATCTTTGATGCTACTATTGAAGGATTTCTTAATACTGTTAAGTACTATCTCATTGCCACAAAGACATGTAGCAGTGCTTGTATGTTAATTAACTGCTAGCTTATAGGATATACGAGGTATCCTAACATGACTAGTCACTTTGACAGGAATTTGATTCAGTCTTACTTTTCAGCCATGAGAGTCTTACTCAGTTATGAGATATAATAAACAGAAAAAATACACAAAACAGAAATATGTAACTCAGTGATCTATTAGCAGTTCTGTAAATGTGTTTCTCTTCTTTAGTCATCAAAGGAATGTGATTTAGTATTATTTGAAATAAAAAAAAATATTTTTGTTTGCATTGAATATGCCAGTTGTGTGTTGGCTAATAACTTGGAGAAAAGAGCTTTGTAAAACTTTAGAAACATTCGCTTTTAGGTTCTGCCAGGGCATCCTTTGACGACCGGAAGACAGCACTTTCCAGTTCACTCCAGCATGGCGCCGCCTACGATGTCTACAACCCCTTCTACATGCACCAGCACGTGTCACCTGACCTCGGCCGCCGCTTCCCTCCCCACTCAGACGCCGTGAGACTGTACGGATCAGGTGCGAAAAACTGCATGTGACACTGCTGTGTGTTTCTATGTGCAGTTTTCATTTCCTTTGGGAACATTCCTAGGAGTTGGATAGCTGGGTCTCAGTTTTCTTTTCTTTTTTTTTTCCCCCCAATTCTTTTTTTATTTTGACAATCTTTACATAGTTAATTTGGGTAAAAAGGGTCAAGGCCTACAGGAAAGTGGGTAAGACTATTACTTCCATATTGCTTCCTTCATGTATCTGAGGTAAAGGGGTATATTGAGGGAGAAGCCCCACCCGGGTTCCCACCCACCCCAAGTCCTGCATGTGGGGCATGCTCTGAGATATTCGCTGAAGTAGTTTCATTAGTTCACCAGTTATGAATTGCTGCCAGTCTCACCTCTCCAAACACGATGAGGTCGTTGAAAAATCCACTGATTGACATTGTCCATCATAGCGTCTCTATTTGCCTGGTATTTTGTTGCCAACCTATAGCTGAGGTGGTTGATTAACTTGTTCCATCTTCTGTCCTTTCATTGTTAGGGTTCTGAAATGTCAGTTTTATTTTCTAAGAACATTTTAAAATGCCATATGTCACTGATTAATAAAATTTTCAATATTTTTAAAGGTTTTGCTACACATAACTATCTCAGTCACTAGATTCAGGCATAATTCAGTGGTTTTTTTTTTTTTTCCTAACAGTAAATACTTTTTATTTCCCATTGTAGTTTGTGATTTAAGGGCCAGCAAGCTTCCTAGTCCCTCTGGGCTAAGCAAATCTATGTTTGATCTTACAAGTGCTTCTCAACGATTCATTCAGGTAAGCGTGCTTTGTACATTTAAATTCATGTGTCAGAAATCTGTAAAGTACATTAGGAATATGTATATTTCTTCTTTTTCTACAATTTTATTTAAATGATGCTTACATAGCTGATCAGGGTGGGAAGGATCAAGGTCAAGTAAAAGTGCGTGTGGTCATTGTTTCCAAGTTTTCCGTTTCTTTTTCCTCTGTCTTTACATTTCTCTGTTGGTATCTACTCAGGAATCTTGAGGCAGTTGAAATTTAAAATAGTATAGTTACAAGTGCATGTTAATTTATCTGTCCTTATTGAACATAATCAGCTAGTTATTAAAAATAATGCTTTTATGGTGATGTAGACTTTATTCACTAGTATTAAAATAGTCTATTTTTAAAGTAAGATTGAGAGGTTTTTTATTTTTTAAAAAATGGTTCTTTCTTTACTCAAATAAATTGCCTATTTGAAACTAGAACATAGAAAAGCAAAGTAAAAGATTAATTATATTCCTGTCGGTGAGAGTAGAAATACTGTGAAAATGTTATAACGCTTGGTAGATTATAATCCTTGTTTTTTTCCCATGTGAATATATATACAAATGTTTTAGAAACTGGAGATGTACTCAAGTATTGTTAGTTATGCCTAGAGTTGTGTTTTTTAGACCCAATTTTTTAACACACATCAGAATTATTTGAGAACTTTGGAACTACAGGCTACAGGCTTTAAGCCACAGCATTTCTGAGCTGGTATCCCTGTGCCAGGCCTGAGTTCACTTTTCTGCCACACTCCCAGGTGAACCATGCTGCTTCACAGGTGTTTGAGAAATAAATATGGCACATCCGGGTATATTCTGATTTTCACTGATAGTTCAAAATATGAACGTAAGCAGTGATCTCTTTCTCCTTGTTATAAACTCAAGTAAAAAAATTAACATTTTCCCAGTAATATACTTAAGATCTTTCTAGTAATGCACACAGAAAGCTCTTTGTCCCTGGAGTGTTTCCTACCAGTAGCTCTGTCAGAATGGTTAGCATGCGCTTTGTTACTAGGTGGATGCTGGGGCTTAAATGTAAGAATCCTTGAAGTTTGATATGTAATTTCTGATTAAAGAATTTTATTTGTAGAGATGTGACTCATTATCCAGTGTGCCCAGTAGTACTTCTTCAAGAAAGAATTCTCAAGGGAGTAACAGAAGCCTGGGTAATACTATTTTTATACTCTCAAAGGCATTATTTCTAGTTGATTGTAACTTGAAAGCATATGTGATAAAATAAAAAGGAAAAAAAGCAGAAGTGTCCTCTCCTCTGTATGCTGTACAGATGATCTTTGTCAGTGTACACACATGAATGCAGCTTCCTGAGAAAGTCAAGCTGTTAGTTTTTTTCTTTTTTTAATTTCATTTTATGACACAGTTCCATAGGCTCTGGGAGTCTCCCAAGTCCTCCCCCCATATTGATTTCCTCCATATTATTACAGCAGTACTGCTCATAACCAGTCATAATTCCATCATTGTGGGCATGGACCATGCAGAGAGTCCAACATCTTATTGTCCAGATAAGTTCAACAGTTTCATTGGGAGACCATCCTTGATCTGAAAGCAGAGCTGGCAGAATATCATCCCTTCCAATGAAAAGCCACAACACAAATTCAACAACAGGAAGAAACATGGACATTTACAACATCATAAAGTCAATTGACATGATACTGAATGAACAATGTGTTAGAAAATGCAAGTTCTTAACCACATCCTGTAACTACTTCATTGACATCTCAAACTTAGTTTATATATAACGGGCTGCCATAAACCTTAAAATGGTTATAGGGTACTATTCAGCTGTCTCGTGTCTTTTTTCATATTTATATTTAGCAGCTTATAGTATTCAAAGTAGATTTTTACTGCGCTTCGTGAGTTTTAGGATTGTTCAAACAGGCTTATAACTCTAACAAGCCATATGTTATCGATTGAGGAGCAGTGCAGTTTTAGGAGGGATGTGCAGAGAAATCTTCTACCTTAGTGAGGAGTAACTGATCTTTGTGTCCTACCTAGTAAGGTATATGGCAGTCCAAGCTGGCTTTTTCTTGTATGTTCTAAGCTTTCCTTATTGTTCTCTCTCTCTCTGTCTGATGTAATTTTGGGGGCTCCGGAGCGACCCTGATGGTCATTGCAAGAGAGGGTGGGGAGCAAAAGTTGGAGCTACGTAAGGACCAGAAAAAGCTCCTCTCCAGAGTCCCGGAGGAAGTTTACTGTTCTGTTTCTGAGGCGTGCTCAGGGCTCCTGGCTGTTGTTCTGATGTCATTAGACCCTGTGAAGAAGGATCTGGGCTGCTTCCATCCCATTTGGAAGATCCGATAGGGAATGGTTGACCTCAGAGTTCTCGGCCTATGAGGGCACTCCAATTCGCTGTGCTTTCCTTGGTGGTTGGATATAGTCCTTGGTGCCCATACTGATAGTCCTTGGTGGGGATCCCGGAGTCTCCGGGGTTGGGATACAAGCCTCCTCCTCTCTTCATGCTCCACTCTGAAGTCCCCTCCTGCTCTGTTCAAGCTGTTAGTTTTAAAGTATACTAGTTAGGGACTTGCCAGAAGTATATTGCTAAGGGCTGCATACATGTTATTTGGGAAGGTTTTTTCTCAAGTTTTATCTTAAATCCTGCAGATAGATATTTTGGGTTAAAATCTTAAACCACATCAGCTTTATAACATGTCTTCCTCCAATTAAACTCTTGGAAGCTTAGACTTGTTAAATAAGGAACTTTGAAAAATAATTGCAGCATTTTTCAGTTGTACTGTTCTCAAAGCTTAATTGCAGTAGACCCATTGGATGATATTTCGTACCTCTTTGTCCTTTTACAATTCAGATACAATTACTCTATCAGGAGATGAAAGAGATTTGGGAAAATTGAATGTGAAATTGTCTTATAATTCTTCAGTAGAGCAGATATGGATCACAATTTTACAGGTAAATTGGTTAATACCAATTGTTATTACATCATTGAATATTTAGAGCTTATGACCACTGCTGTTGTACTCTTCTGAGGAATGGGCCAATACAAGATTTGAAATATTAGCTTCTATAAAGAAAATAGTATTCAGTAAAGTCTGTAACAAAGTCCATTAATAGATGGGAATGTGTGTATTTCAAACCTCTAGAGGAAAGCTGGTGTAACATTGTAACCTAGAGTATCTAATTTATTTTAATATAAATTAAATACAAAAATCATAGACTCAGGTTTGTTTTTATAGTTCTTACCTAAACTCACTTACTCAAGAAATACAGCACTCTTATTGTCAGTCCTTAGTAAAATCTAAGCTGCATTTGGTGTTTTTTTAGTGCAGAGATCTAAGTTGGCCGTCTAGTTGTGGCGATGCCCCTACAGTGTCTGTGAAAGGAATGCTAACATTGCCCAAGCCAGTGCACTTCAAGTCTTCAGCCAAGCCTGGGGCGCATGTAAGTGGCTGCTTCTGCTTGGATGTGTTTTCTGTTTTTTCCACATTCATCACTTAACATTCATGGAAAGAAGTAAAATAAGAAAGTGGGGTTTTTTGGGGGGGCGTGTGGGGAGTCTGTGAAATATGTATCCTTGCTTCTTAAAGACAGTTTTGAAATGTTGGATATGTCATCGTCCAATATTAAAATACAGTTTAAAGAGAAAATTTTAATCATTCAGGTATATAGATTAATAGTACCTAAGAAAGAAACCTCTATTTCTTTTATGTAAGAGGAAAATGTCTACCTTTTTTTTCCCCTGCTCACTTTGTCTGAAAAGTTTTGCAATTGCAATTAATTTATTTTAAATACTTTTAATTGGTATAACTTGAGAAGTTCACCTGAGTTAGGTTTTGTAGATTATAGTTTTCATACTGGGTATTTGTTCATTTTTATCTTTTGATGTGGTTCAAAGGTAGTGTTTTGCTATGTACATGAGAAAGTATATTATATTATAAAGAAACATAATTAAAAATAAGGTAATACAAATAATTAATAAATACAAAAAACTTGCTATTAACTTTTAAAGTGTAATTATGAATGACAGGAAAGATACTTTAGAACCACAGATGAAAAAACATCTCATTGTCAGAAAGTGTTTAAATCTGGTGAGCATGGTATTCACATGAATTTGAATTTCCAATTAAAAGGGTAATTTGTGGAATTAAGAAAACTGCTATCCAGTATAAACTCTGGGAAAAACAAGTCATGCTCATTGTCATTTTAATTTTTATTTTAAAACATGAGAAAATTAAATATGTTGTTGACAAATCAACCTTCTCTTATTTATGCATTTTCTGGTTTTGGCCTTTTTTTTTGAAGGCTATTGAATTTATGGAAACTTTTGTATTTGCTATCAAACTCCAAAGTCTACAAACTATAAGGCTTGTGTTTAGGATTCAGACTCAGACTCCCAGGAAGAAAACCATTGGTGAATGCTCCCTGTCACTCAGAACACTTAGCACGCAAGAAATGGATTACTCGTTGGCTATAACACCACCTTCAAAAGTTTCTGTAAGTGATATAGGGTGCCATGTGAAAAATGTTTCATATTTGTAAAATTATCTAAAGGTTGGGATTTTGTATGTTGAAGACTATGGAAAGCTCTTGAAAGGCAGTATTAAAAATAACGTTCTAGAAATGATTGATTAAAGGAATGAGCCATTTCCCTGCCTTCACTGGAAAATAACCTCAGAATGACCTTCTCCCATCACACTCTTTTTGCCATTGTTATTAACCTCAAAGTATGAAAATCTTTAAATTATTAAATTATTTTCTTTTGCAGTACATTCTTGGTAACTGATAACTTAGAATCATGCACTCCAGAACCAAAGACTGTCCTACACTGGATGCAGAAAGCTGTTTTCTTTTCGGCTAAGTTGCCAGCTGGGACACTCCTAGCATGTTGGAATGCCTGGGCTTTATGCTCCCCCTGAACAATTTCAGCTTCCTGCTAGCACAGACCCTGAGAACAGACAGGCTGGCTCCAGTAGTGGGGTCCCTGCCACCCATGTGGGAATCCTGGATTGAGTTCCCAGCTCCTGGCTCCTGTGTGGCCCAGCCCTAGTCATTAGGGCCATTGGGAAGTGAACCAATGAGTGGGAAGAAACTCTGTCCATCCATCTCTCAAATTAATTATTCATTAAATTGTGAGTAAACAAAGTTTTCACCTTAAGAAATGTTGAATGTTTTAGCAGATATGTTTACCTTGTTTGGATGTTATGTGTACATGAATTAAAACACAACATAGTATCCTATGTATAATTTTGTGTGTCAGGAAATTTTGAATGTTATTAGGAAGATTACCTCTTTAGGTAAACAATGTGTGGTAGAGTTAAGACTCGAACCAGACTAGTTCCTGACTCCCCGACAACTGGGCTGTATGAAATTGGACAGCTCTTCACTGAGGTCGGCATGACCAGAACTCAGGCTCGGAGCTTGGTGTGAGCACTGGGCACTCAGCAGTGGTGAGGTCAGGTGGCCATTGAGTTCGTAATAGGTCAAATTTTCTAAGTAAAATACAAATCCTGCATATGTTTATAATCATATATATTGACCATTTCAATGTTTCTGACATTATTATAAATGTTGTCCTGACATGGGAGCTGTATAATTATCAGGAATTCATAAATAACTCAAAAATAGGGTTCAGGCAGTAGTTTCCAGAAAGTGTCAGGTCTCATAAATCAGTCAGCTCTGTAGCTAATGCTTTTTTCCAAAAAAGCTTCAGCAGTAAACACTTCATTTCAACACTTTTATGAGCAGATATGCAACTTAATCATTTTTAAAAGTTTATTAAGATTATTTGAGAAACAGAGGGAATTGGGTGTAAAGGATGTGAGACAAGAGATCCCATCCACTGGTTCACTTCACTAGCTCCTAAAGTATCTGACACTAGGCCAGGCTGAAGCAGGAAGCCAGGAGCCCTGCCCAGGTAGGTCTCCCACACAGATGGCAGGAACTTGGCTACTTGAACCATCATGCGATGCCCTCCAGGGTGCACATTCGGAGGAAGCTGCAATGAAGAATGGAGCCGAGACTCCGACCCAGGTGCTCAGCTGTAGAACGTGTCTCCGCTGGCATCATTGCCGCTAGGTCAAATGCCTTCTCCGGTTGTGGTTTTTGAAATAAGGAAATATACAGTACATTAACATCACCCGTAGTCACCCTACCGTGCAGTAGAATACCTGAATTTCTCGCTCCTGTAACTTAACCAGTTAACCTTTCCCCACCCTGCTTTATCCCCCTCTTTCCCCTGTCTCTGGTAACCACCATTGTACTTTTAACTTCTATGAGCTTATTGATTTTTTTTTTATTCCACTTTTCTTCCTGTGCTTGCCTTTTTCACTGAATAGTGACCTGGTCCAGTATAATCTGTACTGTCACAAACGGCAAGACTTAATGTTTCTTATTATTGGTTGAGTAGTACTCCAATGTCCATGTGTACCATGTTTCTTTATCCATGGAGGGACACTTAGGCTGTTGTAAACGTGGGAGAGCAGATGTCTTCCACAGAGTGATTCCATTTCCCTTGGATTTATATCCCGCGGTAGGATTAAATGACACCAGACTGTTTTTCCCTGGTTATACTTGACATTTTGTTGTTGATTATTCCAGAAATAATTTAGAAAAAGGTGACACGTTATTGTATTTTATGTCTTCCCATAGTTTTGTGCTTACTAAATATAGTCAGTACGTTAGTGCTGATAGGAATTTTAATGTTTTGATTACTGAGATTGAAAACTATCCTGAATAGTTTTTCATGATCTGAATTAATGTCGTGGGATATAAATTAAATTTGTGAAGTAACATTAGCAGGTAGGAAGTGAAAAAAACCATTATGAAATGCTACTGTTTGAGTGTGAACTCTACAATTGTACCACCTTTAGATGTTTCACAAATGAATTATGAGCACAAACCCATAATAAAAAATAAAAATTTTTCATTCATCAGTTCCTTTGTGTTTTTATACAATAAGTAACTTTTTTTTTCAAGCAGAAAGAAACTTTTGTTAAGTTATCAAACATTTTATTTTGTGTATGGCTACCACATTATTTCCTTTGAGTTGTTATTTCATTCTCATTCTGAGTAAGACCAAGGCAATAAATTTACCTAGATTTAAAAGTAAGAATCTGCCAAAAATAAACAAAATTGACCATCATTTTAGACTCTTGCAAGGGAAAACTTACCTGCACAGTTGAAATTCTGCTTTTTAAGCAGTTCACCTTTTATTATTTGTCTCCTGATTCCTTATGGCATGACCAGTTTTAAAACACAAAATCATGTTTTATGAAAATATGCAGTAAGCTTCAGGCAGTAGAAAATTATGTTTCATTTGTTTTTCAGTAAGCTATTAGTTAATTATTGTGGGATACTGAGTAATTATCAAAAATAAACCCCTCCAGAAAGTCATCCATCTATTTTATAACTGTATTAGAATCAGTACTACAAAAGGCTTTTTTGTCCATTGTACTGACTCTTACTGAGTAAGATATGTAAACATCATGTTCTTGCTTTATTGCCATTCTTACACTTTTCAACACATCAACAGTAATGTTTTTGTATTTGGACAGCTTTGTGCTGCTTTTATTTTTCATTCAAGACTCTTGGGATAAACAGGAATAGACTGACTTGTGTTGAATTTCACAGACAAAAGAGCACTTTGCTTCTACAATTGGTCCACAGTACTGAAGAGCAAATCTTGTGTCTTTCTCTCTGTTTGTCTTTTTTTATGCACTGATTGCCTCAGATTCTCTGACCTTTTCCTTATTGTTTATTTCCTCGTGACTTTAGTGAACTTCCTTCTTGCCGGTTTCCTTCAGCTGGCTGCCGTTGAACACAGCAATCCAACTTTTAATCCATAAATCTGTCTCTGACTTTGACAATACCTACTCTCATTTCTATACTTAGAAGAAATAGTGATTCATATTTATAGCATTTTTACCATTTCCTATATTGCTTTAAAATAATTCAATCAGCTATGCTTAATTATTTTGAAAGTAAATTCCTTCGGGATCATTTGAGTGGTATTTTTTCCAGGAATACTACTTAGAAGTTTTACTAGTTTCTAATTTAAATTGACTTTTGGTATCACTGATGTTGAAGATGCAGTGTGCATATGACTTTTACGTTTATAATCTGTGCAAGTGAAACACCTCAAATGTTAGATTCTGAGACAGTTATTTACTTTTCATATTTGTGTATTTGGAGGTCAGAGTGATCATCTGCTGGGTTGCTCTCCAAATGGGTACGCTGGCTAAGGAGTGGCAGACCGCCCTCTTCCCTGTGGGTGACAGGGCCTATACCTGCTGACTCGCAGGGATGTGAGTGGCACACGCAGCATCCTAAAGGCTGGGCCCCATGTCCACCCTGCGTTTGTCTTCTGAACCGTCCCTTGTGATTCTGGGTGACAGTAGAAAGGACAACGCTTTGAGAATCTCTAACCGAAACTTAATTCCCAATTACCAAATGACACTTTTTTGATATGCAGGTTTGCCATGCAGAACTTCAAGTGGGGACTTGTTTTCAAGCAGTAAATAGCAGAATTCAGTTACAGATTCTTGAGGCACAGTACCTTCCCAGCTCATCCACACCTTTAACTTTGAGTAAGTATGTCTGGTGCAAAGTAAAATGTTTAAAAGGTGTTAGTGATGCAAAGTTGGTTTTTTTCCTGCAATGGAGATTAAAACCTTAATTTTATTATTTTACTTAAATAGTAACTTTCAAATACTTTATCATGTTTCTAATTTGGGCCATGTACACATCTTAATTTCCTTTCTCTTGGTTCCTACTCAGCTATAACCTGAATATTCAGTTCATCAGTTCGTACAAGGTGCATGTCCAGAGGACTCTCAGATGTGCTTCACCGGCCTCGTTTGTATTCTCTGCCTCTCTGAGCCTTTTGTCGGATGCTCTGCTAACCAGCAACTTATTTTTTTATTAAACCTGCAAATGTCAAAAAAAGAAACAGAGAAAGGAAGAAAGAAGGAAAGAAAGAAAGGAAGGAAGGAAGCAAGAGAAAGAGAGGGAGAGAGAAAGAGAGAGAGGAAGGAAGGAAGGAAGGAAGGAAGGAAGGAAGGAAGGAAGGAAGGAAGGAAGGAAGGAAGGAAGGAAGGAAAGAAGGAAGGAAGGAAGGAAAGAAGGAAGGAAGGAAGGAAGGAAGCTGGTCACTCTTTATTCTTACAGCTTTACTCTTCTGTGACATTCAGGTCAGAGGGGGATTGAATACTTGAGGCCATAGTAGTTAATAAAAGGGTTACTTTTTCTTTAATAGTGAATTTATATTTTACCTTTATATTACATTTTAATAAAATTATATAAATCAACTTCTTGTTTTTAGGTTATTTTGTGAAGGTGGGAATGTTTAGCTCAGGAGAGTTGATTTATAAGAAGAAGACACGCTTACTGAAAGCCTCTAATGGAAGAGTAAGATGGGGAGAAACTATGATTTTTCCACTTCTACAGAACGAAAAAGATATTGTTTTTCTCATTAAGCTCTACAGTCGAAGCTCTGTAAGAAGGAAACACTTTGTGGGCCAGGTTAGTGTGGAGTTTTTGTTTAGAATTGTTTCCTTCTATTTTTCTGTGCATTTAAATAATTGGTCTTCAAAGCAAACACAGGATAAAACTGAATATGATTGAAATATAATTATTCAGACCTAGTGCAATGGCTTAGTGGCTAAATCCTCACCTTGCAAGTGCTGGGATCCCAAATGAGTGCCAATTCATGTCCTAGCTGCTTTGCTTCCCATCCAGCTTCAAAGCCTTGGTCCACTGCACCCATGTGGGAGACCCAGAGGAGACTGCTGGTTCCTGGCTTCAGATTGGCTCAGCTCCAGCCACTGTAGCCTTTTGGGAAGTGAACCAGCAGAGGGAAGATCTTTCTGTCTCTCCTTCTCCCTGTAAATCTGATCTGCTCTTCCAATAAAAATAAAACGAATCCTTTTTTTAAAGGAAAAAAAATATAATTCTTCAGGATTTGAAAGTAGAAATCAGCGTTGATATCATTATTAACCTGCTGGTTCATTCCATGGGGGTGATGTGGACCTAAGTGTTTAAATCAAGTTTCTTAAAGCTTTGAATGTCAAATTTACTTTAGTGTTTCAGAAAATGTTATCTAAAGTGCCATAAATGATAAGTATTTTTTCTCTTTTTAAAATCTTTTTAAAGATTTATTTATTTTATAGAAGCTACTGAATATTTTCCATTAGCATGAACTGAACTGTTATCATTATTCAAGTTAAATAATGCACTGTGTTTTTTTTAAAAAAAAAAACAGGTTTGGATAAGTGAAGACAGTAATAACATTGAAGCTGTGAACCAGTGGAAAGAGACAATTACAAATCCAGAAATGGTTGTTATCAAATGGCACAAATTAAACTCCAGTTGAAGACTTCACAGAGTAATGCGGTGAAGAACTTGGCATGAGTTCAGACTCTGCCAGAGGAAAAGACATGCCGATCCATTTATTTATGAAGGACATAACTACAGTGTATGATGGGGTTTGATAGAAAAATATATAAAACATAATACATTTTATCAGATAGCCAAAGTGAAGTAAATATTTTAAAATGGTATGAAAACAGATGATCAAATAAAAAAGGATAGTGTTAAGGAAAATGAAATAAGTTATAAAGCCTGTAAGTAAATTAGTCCCAGATAGTTTTTTCTCCATCGTGATTTTGCTTTTGTTTTTTAAGCTTTGCTTAAACCTTCACAGCCGGCTCCGTCAAAGCCTCTGCATTCTAAGAACTCTAGGAGATTTCAGGACTACCGTAGCACTAGGTCTGTGGAACAGCTCTCGGCTCCACCGATGACTTCCTGCTATATATATGTTTTCTCTCAGCAAAAATGAATTGAACCATTTCAACTATTTTCTCTACTTGAGGAAAACTGTGTTGTGCTTTATATTTTTCTTATAATGTGTAGGCTTTTACATAGCCACTTGGCAAGCTGTTTGTCACCAAGAAACTTCAGGAATAGAAAGCTGTGTTTTGACAAGCATGAATGAAAACTCCAGAAGGTTGAAGCTTAGAAATCCAGCATATGCACATCTTGCTGCTTCCTTCCTTCAAATATTTGACATTTTGTTTTGTTTGGAGTTGAAATAATACTATCATCCATGTGGTCCCTCCTAGTAGTTAGCATGATTAAATAAGCTGAAGTGGAAAGATCAATATTTTGTGATAATCACTTGCTTATTTTTATAAGTAGTTTAAATATCGACTGCTTGTTCCATAATGCATCATATTATTTTCACATGTTTTTCATACTCATACCTACAAATGCTGTGCAGCAGATGTTTTCTTTTGCAGTTTCCTTTCGGGGAGTTGTTATACCTTAGTATATGGGGATCATTTCAGCTTAACTGGCGACAAAAGGTGAAAGTGAAAACAATAGCTTCTTGAAGAAATAAATCGCATCAGCCATAATCACAGAAATGTGCTTCATTTTTGCTAATAAGTAGACCAAGTATTCTTAGTCGTCTATTTTTTTTTCCTTTCTTACTTAGTCCCACGCATGCTAAGAGATAATGATATTTTAGCCCAGAAATACACATTGCTATTAAGTAAGCTTACTTTTCCAGGTCTATGCATCTCATTAAAAATTTGCCAAAGAAACCTTGGGATCTTGTTCTCCTAGATACTGTTTCCTTAAGATACACAGTGTGCATATTTTACTCCTCTTTTGCTTCTGTCGCCTAGATTTTTATGAGAGTTTGGTGTTTCCTTTGGTGTGCCGGGGAAAGTACCAGCTCCAGTGTTTGTTATTATGGGGACACTTTCTAATGGCCTCATTGCCTAAGCTGTAATATTCCGAGTTAAATTTCAAATGCTTGAAGTTCTGGCTGAAATACTGAGAGAATTAAGGAACTGAACCCATGAGAAATATGTACATTTTGAAGTAGATTTAAGGTCTTAAGTTATTAAAAAGGATTAATGTAGCTTTCCAAAATTGAGTTCTGTTTTGTGGATGATGAGCTGCCTTAAGGTGAGTACTGCCAACGTGTTTGGTAATTTCAGAATAGAAAGAAAATTTTTAGAGTTAGTACTGCTTAATTTTAAATGTTTTGACTATAAAAAAAAACTGGTCTCTAAAAGAGTGGTTATCATTAATAACTGTATTCACAGGACTCTGATAATGGCAACAGATATCTGGAAGGAAAGTGATAAAAAAAATGATTCTGTGCTAACCTGAATCACCAAGTGAGGTACATGTTCTCATGCATGTTATCCATGTCTAGTCGTTATCGATCTGATTCTCACACTGTGAAATTCATCTCTGGGTCATCATCCTTCAGTTTCTGAGGAAGGAGGATGCTGAAAATACCTTCCCATCACGGTGGAATAGGTTTATTTTTTCAGAAATAAATTTGGTTTACTGAAGCTGTAAATTGTCTCATTTCAGCTTAATTTGTAGATTTTTCATTTATCTTGCTTGCACAAGGTGTGAATTCCTGGTATGAGTGTGTCTCTGCAAAGGTGCTTATTTGGGAAACTTGGTTCCCAGGGTGGTGATATGGAAGATGATGGTTCCTTTAAACAGTGAGACTCGCTGGGAGGCCCTCAAGTCCCTGGGGGGCGGCCCTTGAAAGGGACTAAATTCTGGTGGACGCTTCTGAGGGTGGTTGTGCTAAGAATGACCCATGTGGGACCCCTGAGCTTCACGTTTTGTGACACAATCTCTTCCTCCCACATGTGCTGCTGCTGTCGTGGTGCCGTCTGCCTTGAGATCCCCACAGGAGCCAAGTGGGGCTAGCATCCATCCCTTGAGTCACCAGAGCCATGAGCTAAGCGACCCTCCTTATCAGGTGTGCCTCTTCAGGGACTTGTTACAGTATATACAGTAAGCCATCGTTGTTTGCCCTGCGATTTTTAGGAAACTAAAAAATATTTGAGGTGTGAAGAAAAATGCTTTAAAAAGTCGGGTAAAGAAAAGATTAAATGCAACTGAAAGAACCAGGAAGGATTTGGTAGGTCTGTGACTCCAAACAAGTAAGACCAAATAGATTGGTTACACTTTTACTCATATCTAACTACCTACCTAGTAGTCTTACTTCATTTTCCTGGTCAGCTGACTCACTGTGAAAACAATTGAGTTCATACTCCTCTTTAATCCATCTGCTCCTTTCTTTACTCTCACTAGATCTTGTTTCATAATCACAAAGAGCGCCACGCATTCCTTTAGTACCTATCACCCTGTCCACAAGCATGTTTTAAGGAGTGCTGGTGAAGAGTCCAGTCCTCCACACACATGGTTGACCCTCAGGAAGTCACCTCCCACCAATACCACCTCTTTAATGTAAACTCAGGTGAGGATGAAAGGGGTTTGTTGTGAATGATAGAAAATGCTTCTCCACTATGCCTCTCCAGAGCTGTTTCAAGGGACAAATAAGACGAAAGACTTTCCTATTGCTCTCCTCATGAAATTCAGGGAATAGTAGGTATTCCGTGCCAGGAACCAAAGATGAATATTGATAGATTATTTATATCAATGTCACACCTTACAACTCTGATCTGTGTTTAACCACTATGTTCAGAAATGCATATCCCTACTAGATTCTGAGCCCACGTGCTTCTCCAACTGCACTGTAACATCATCATTTGGAGCACCGTGCTCGCTCTGTGTTGGCCTGCTGCTGCCCTTGCATTCTGCTTCAATCCTTTCTTCATCAAGCAGGTTCATGTGATATGTGACCCTGACCGTCACACCTTAGATCCCATTGCTTAGTGGGTAGTCCAAGATCCTTAACATGGATTTATAAGGCCTTTGTTGGGGAGGAAAAACATAGCTGCCCCTTTCATCCAAAGGGAGCCTTTGGGATAAACCAATGAGTGACCAACGGACAGGAGAAAATGTTTATAAATATTTACATGCAGGAGCATCACAGAAATGCACAAATGGAAGAGGTAATTAGTCTTAGGGGCTTTTTTAAAAGATTATTTTTTTAAAATTTTATTTGTTTTTGTTTATTTATTTTGGAAAGGCAGATTTACAGAGAGAAGGAGATACAGAAAGATCTTCCATGCATTGGTTCACTCACAAAGCGGCTGCAGCAGCCAGAGCTGAGCCGATCAGGAGTCAGGAACTTCTTCCGGGTCTCTCACATCGTGTAGGCTCCCAAGGCTTTGAGCCATCGTCTGCTGCTTTCCCAGGCCACAAATGTTTCTAGAACATTTTTATGTACACTTACAGAACTCCTCTATTAACTAAAAAAGGAATACATTAGCAAATCACATGGTTTGGAAGGAGAAGTCTTCGAGTTTTATGTAACCTAGAAATGTAATTGCTTTAAGAACAATCCAAAAACCGATTTCATATCAGGATTATTTGTGTGTGAAATGAATCAGTGTAGTAGACAGACCGTATGAAAATCATACCCAGGCCACACACCAAGGAGTGATGGATTATTCTGAATTTCTCAATCTTTTTTTCCTTCATGAATATCATTGCCCTAGGAATGAGGAAAGTAGCTAGCTGTATTTAATGTTCAGGGTCAGGATCGTGGAAGCTCTTCATGCTTTGGTCTTTGGGTTTCCCTGGAAGGTGACAGCAGGGTGGACATTGGGTCCAGCCTCCAGGCTGTCGGTATTGTGTCCATGTTCCTCCCCCCTCAGTGTGCCTGGGTGCCAGTGCTGGCTCCAGTGCCTGACTCCAGCTTCCTGCGAATGCAGACCTGGGAGTCGGCAGATGGTACTGAATGTAGTCAGGTTCCTGTCGCTCGTGTGGAAGATCAGGACTGAGTGTCTGGTGCCTGGCTTTGCCGGGCCGTGCACCAGCCATTGTAGGCATTTGGCAAGTGAACCTGTTGGCGGGAGTGTACACTTTGTTTCTCTCTCTCCCGTCCTGTCTTTAAGTAGAGAACAGGTCATTGCTTAAAGGAATTGCTATTATTGACTTTAGATAAGAAAAGAGAATGGCTATTTTTGTATTGCAGGTCATTTTTAAAGTACCTTGAAAGGCAAAGAGAGGAAGGGAAAAAGAGATTCCTCTGCCCGTCCATTATCTTTTAGACTTAGAAAAAGGACATATATTTCTTGAAAATTAGTAGAACAAGCAATTAAATTGGGTTTGAAGACTGATGCAAATGTAATGTTCATTTCTTTTCCCAGTTCAGAAATAAAAATTAATAAACACCACGAAATAAAAAAAGAGGAAAAGTTTTCCCTTTCTTCATCTAGAAGAAAGTAAGTTGCAGAAACAACAAGTGGTGGGCCTTTTGGAACGAAGGGCAGGATCTGCGTGTTCTGCCTAACATTATCACTATAGAGCAGCCAAGATGTCACAGGTGCCTGCTCCCTTATAAAGCTCAAATTTAAAACCAGCTTTCCTACTGACTTCCTTAAGATTTATTTTTATTTATTTCTTTTTAGTGGAAATGCAGGTATACAGAGAGAAAGCTCTTCTGTCCGCTCGTTCACTCCCCAAGTGGTCACAACGGCCAGAGCTAAGCTGATCAGGAGCCAGGAGCTTCTTCCAGGTCTCCCATGCAGGTGCAGGGTCCCAAGGCTTTGGGTCATCCTTTACTGCTTTCCCAGGTCAGAAGCAGGGAGCTGGATGGGAAGTGGAGTAGCCAGGACACAAACCGGTGCTCATATGGGATCCTGGCTGATGACTTAGCCGCTAGGCTATCACACTGGGCCTTTTTCTATTGATTTTTTACCTGGGTGTGTGAGATAAAATAGTAATGCTTGACCTTTTTTCTTTCCTAGTGTAACTGGAGGGTATAATATACTTCCATCATTGATAGACACGGTGACAGTAATTTGCATCCAGGGTGTTAATATTTTAAAATTCTTCCTATATCCCTCCTTGTGGAATGAGTGAATTATACGGACCATATGAAAATCACACACATACCATATAGGTAGTTCATACCTTAAGGGTGACATATTTTGAATTTCTTGATCAGTTTTTCCTCATGAATATTAATACCCATAAATATTTTCTGTGTCTTGGAAATGAGGAAAATGAACTGACCATATTTATTTGATTTCTAAGGTCAGGATGTGGAAAGATTTTGATCTTTTGGTCTTTGAGCCACATTTGGAAAGTCCTGGTTTTGTCCAAATTATTTCTTTGTCAAGTGGAAATGTTTATTCTTTTCAGGACCATGTGTGACTGTGTCTGCTAGGTAGTCCTAAGACAGTACACGAACTGGATTGCCTTGGAGAAGTGAAGTGAGATCATCGTGGGGACGGCAGGTTTACTCAGGGTGGCTTCCCCTGACTGAAGAAGTCCCTGAGTGCCCGGTCTGGCTCCATGGCTTTGCAAGGTTGGCTTTTAGTTTCATCAAGATGGTAATGAATTCAGGGAATTAGCTCAGCTAACAAAACTTTCCCAAGTCTAATGTACAAGCTATAATACAAGTTTACTAATTTATACAAGGGAGATAGTTCCATAAATGTTTAAAAAAATTCATATCAGCTTTTATAGCACCCCTATTACATGTCAGGGCATGGAACTGAATTTTAGAAGCCAGACAGTTGTTTAGAGAGCATGAATTGAAAGCCAGGAGAAGTGGATTACAGGCTGTGGTGGGCCAGTGTCCCATCTTGCCCAAGCAGGAGTCTCCTGAGATTCTTGCCATCCTCTTTGTCTTGGGGAGTACAGAGCCATGTTGTTTAGGCCCCTCCTTTTTTTCAAAAATTTATTTAACTTTTTTGGAAAGTCAGATCTACAGAGAGGAGGAGAGACAGAAAGATCTTGCATTCGTTGATTCTCTCCCCAAGTGGCTGCAACGGCCAGAGTTGAGCCAATCTGAAGCCAGGAACCCAGAGCCTCTTCCAGGTCTCCCATGCAGGTGCAGGGTCCCAAGGCTTTGGGCCGTCCTTGACGGCTTTCCCAGGCCACAAGCAGGGACCTGGATGGGAAGTGGATCCACTGGGATATGAACCAGCACCCATATGGGATCCCAGTGCATGCAAGGTGAGGACTTCAGCCTCTAGGCTACTGCACTGGACCCTAGGCCCCCCTTTTGACCTCACCTTATGCTGTATTTCATTCTAACCATCCTTTACCTGTTAACAGAGACTGGCCAGGCAACTGAACAGTTAGTTGATGAGATTTCAGCTTGCTAAGTTATAATTGTATTTATGTAAAGTATTTTATGCTTTCTAGACATTGTAGCAGGTCGTCATAAATGCAGTTTTAAGAATGTTCTTGTTAGATGTCTGTCTGCAGTCTCAGGTTTATAACTTTTGATCTGTCCAGAGCTTTTGAAGTATGTGGTGCTATTTATAGTGCCTTCTTTACTATTTTTCTTCAGTCTCAGAAGCCTTGGGATGGGGGACATGAGGTGTTCCTTTATTATTGCATTAGCTCTAATGGAAAATGCAATATTGTCACTCAGAAGAGACGCTGTGGTTGTTGGGTTGCTG